TTTCTTGTGCACTTTTCATATGCTTCTATCACCCTGAAAAATTTAAAACTTATTATAATTCTAATGCTACTGCTGTTTTGGAAATTCTACGTATATTATGATACAAACTTGGACAAAGTTACAGAACACTTCATCTCAAAATCTTCCTCTGAGTTAAGATTTTACAGAAACTGGTAATCACCCTTTCAATGCTCACTGCTCACAGTCTTATTTCAGATGCTATAATGACTCTGAGATTCTGTATTTTATATACGTACTATGTTGTGACTTCCAGAATTAGGAGAGGGGGGGTGAGTTATGGACCTACTCATTGGAAAAGATGCTCTAAAGCCTTTGGAAAGAATTCATGTGACATTGAAACATATACGCTCAGTCCTTGATGGTAACTTGGTATCAGATTGAGGCCACATAAAAAAGTTCATGCATGGTGAGAGTGACAGCACTTGAGGTTTCCTTCTTCCTCTCTTTTTACTCCCCTCCAGACCCTGCTGGCATATGTCAACCAGCACCTTACGGTAATGGTTTGAAACCTATAAATAATCATGCTCAATGTGCATTCAGATGGCCATGACTCTTCAGACCAGAAAACAACATAAAATAAACAGAAATGTAAGTAATTATCTTTATCACTTCTTATACATGTGGACAGCTGCTCAGTAAGTTTCAAGTTTCCCCTTCCCTAATTTGTTAATGTCAAAATGCACTTACTTTCAGTGAGGAAAAAAAAAAAGGTAGTAAGTCAGAACTTAGAGCAATCTCTGGGTGTGCCAGTCACTTTGTGTTATGGAACAGGGTACATCAACTGCAAGGTCTTTAACAAAAGTGCAATTGACTGATTCAGAAGACTTGTAGAAAACTTAATTCATAAGGCTCATGAAACCAACCAATGACATAAGAAGAAACAGCCAAAGCCAGAATCTTAAGAGGTGATAAAAAGGAGCTGAGTAATGATAACAGGGATGACAGTATCAGCATTATACTGATGATGATAATGGTAATAAAATCGTTAAACAAACTATTTCTATACTGAAAAAAGCAGTCTTCTGGGATTTGGCACCGTGTATATGTGTTGTTAACAAACGTTTCAGAGGAACGTCGGTTAACACCACATATACACAGTGCCAAGTCCCAGAAGACTGCTTTCTTCATAGTCACCGCCACGAAAGCCTCAAATCTTACATATTTCTATACTGCCTGCACCTGTTCATATTCTTACAAATTCTTTCATCTGTTTTCTCAGGCACAGCATTCTGCATCTATTTTGCGTTCTTACAACAAATACCCCTAACTACCATACTTACTTACTCATGGAGCTGAGCCCTTCTGGAGGAGCCGCCAATTCTGCAGCTACTCAAGAATTTCCCCATAGTGGTTGAGGAGCTATGCTACAAGCCGGAAGGTCACGGGTTCAAGTCCCGATGAGGTCATGGGATTTTTTCCAGTTGACCTAATCCTTCCAGCCGCACTAGGCCCTGGGGTTTACTCAGCCTCTAACAGAAATGAGTACCAGGAATTAATTAAATAATTTTCCTGGGGAGTAAAGCGCGGCCAGCACATAAGGCTGACAATCTTACCGCCATCTTTGAGTCGATTATCTACATAATGTGGGACCCTCAACGTCTCAAAACCCTATGGGCCTTCACGGCCTGCTACAGGGATAGCTTTACTTTTTACTTTTTTACTCAAGAATTTCCCAGCATTTTATGGAACCCAAAGGTTCATTACCATGTTCACAAGAGCCCTCCACTGGGCCCTATCCTGAGCCAGACCAATCCATACCATCCCATCCTATCTCTCCGAGATCCATTTTAATATTGTCCACCCACCTATGCCTTGGTCTTCCCAGTCGTCTCTTTCCTTCTGGCTTCCCCACCAATATCCTATACACATACCTCGTCTCCCCCATTCGAGCTACATGTCCTGCCCACCTCATCCTCCTTGACCTGATCATTCTAATCATACTTGGAGAAGAGTACAAGTTATCATCTCTCTTTGGTTCAAATATTCTCCTCAACACCCTCAGTCTATCTTCCTCCGTTAATGTCAGAGACCAAGTTTCACACCCATACAGAACCACAGGCAAAATTATAGTTTTGTATATTCTAATTTTTATGTTTTTGGACAGCAGACGAGAAAACAAAAGGTTCTGGACTGAATGGTAGCAAACATTAACCGAGTTCAATCTCCTCTTAATTTCCTCCTGAATCAGGTTTCAATCTGTTATCGTTGTCCCCAAATATCTGAACTGTGCCACATACTCAAAACATCTGTTTCCTATCTTTATGTCATGATTTTGCCCTCAATTTGGTGATGAGACAGCAACTTATACTTAGTTTTCTCTGTTTTTACTTCTAGACCAACCTCTTTACTTGCGTCAATTAAAGTTTGTGTGTTTCTCTTTATGGTATCTACATTATCACCCAGTAGATTCACATCCTCGGCATAGGCCAACAGCTGATGTATCCCGTTTAATTCCTGTCCCACCTGGTTTCCCTGGACCTTCCTAATGGCATATTCTAAAGCAAAGTTGAAAAAGGAGTGGTGATGAAACATCTCCCTGTTTTAGACCATTTGGGATAAGAAATTTATCAGACAAATGTTTACCTATACAGACTTTACTATACATTTCATTCAAACACATTTTAATTAACCTAACTAGTTTCATGGGTATCCCAAACTCTATCCTAATTACCATATGTATTAAATTTATTTTCAGCAGCAGAAAATGACCATCAGTTATATATACAAAGTTGTAAACAAACAAAAATATAATCTGTAATACATAATTATTCATCACTGCTGTTACTGTACCCTTCAATGTAACTGTCTTCAACTTGTGACACACTTTTCTTTAACCAGGCTACAGAGCACTGGAAATACACACAGTTTGTTCAAGATACTTTATGGCACAGCTAGAGACATAGAGATATGTTGTTTTGACACAACATTACTGACTTCTGATAAGAGATTGTAGGCTTTGGCAAAGACTGCACTTGTTTTAGGCAATTAATTTCCAAACTCTATGATTTGGGATCTTTTATGAAACTGTTGGTGACTGACATTAGCATACCATAAATTTTGTGTCTGCATAATAAACAATGCTTACATCTACAGCTTTCATTTATGTTACATGCTACAATTAGGCAAAACAAACCAGTGACATGCAGATTCTAACTAACACTACAGACACTAGTCTGCCTGGATCTTGCTCAGTTTCCTTATTTTTTGGCTGCAAAAACCAATTTTCCACAGATGTTACAAGTATCAAATTCGTGACAATCCTAATGATCATCATGGAGCTGACAAATTCCCTTCCCTATGTTCCAACTCTGTGAGCTAAATTACCACCGTACTATATGACATTTGCTCAGACATGCTATGTAACAGAACTCACAAAATTACCCAAAAAGATGCATAAATCGATGTATTTATACATATCACTGCAGTACTGCACACAGTACATGCTTGCCCCTATGCTAGCAGAAAAACATCTTCACAAACTTTTGTGAATATGGTGAATTTGAGGCTCTCAAGGCAGTTAACTATGAATAATAGTCTTCTGGATTGTAACACCACGTACTTTGGAGGGAGCCCTCTGTTCCTCCAAAACATCAGCTCTCTTCAAACAGAACATCCTAGCATACTTAAAAAGCAGAAAATAAAAAAAATAATGGCACTAAGAAATCTCTAAATGCAAAGTGGCGCATTTTCCAATATTGAATACAATTATGTTTTCTTAATGCATAAGCAACTGGTGGCTTCTCAAAGGCTCAGCTCTATGAAGTTGGTGAATTCATTCTATCTCAACATGCTGTATCATTTCTGCCAGCATTTGCTAAATGTCAGATCAATTATCTATCCATGATTCATCAAGGCAAAGAAACTTTGGTATCTTCTTTCATCTTCAAACAGTTTTTTGGGTGAACCCCATTCCTCTGAGAACTCTTTACGTAACGAGGAGGCATTTCGCTTCCATTCAGCTTTTCTCTTAACACAGAGAGAAATGTATGCACTGTAGGCATGATTACTGTCTTCACAATACACAATTCCTTGGTCATGTTCAGAAGTACCCTCCTGTCAGAGTCATTCAAGTTAATCTTTCAGTACTGAGAGTCACTATCTTGTAATAAAGTTCAAGCAAAAATAATTATATGAATATGTTAAAGTTGTAAATATTCATTAAAAAAGACTCGGGTGGCGTCTGATAGCAGACAGACATCATGGTTGTCCTTTAAGGACTTTTTATTCAGTTCAGGAATTTCAAAACAAATTTATTTGATTATGATCTATGTAATTTTTCTGTGGGTTGTTTCAGGTTCATCCAGTGGTTAGTTGGATGCTTTCTGATTCAGAAAACAGATCTAGGGCTTTTGCAGTATATTAGAGTACTTATTGTGTTCCTTTGTTGACTCCATAAGCTAATTATTTCTTTTCTACTAATCACAACACCTATAAAGTGGGAAGTTATTTTCCTCTCTCTGCTACAAATTACTTTATCACTTGTGCGCAGTGGTGTTTACATACATGTGCACATTACTGGTCCTTCACTGTACAATATAGGAAAGTAATTCTGGATGGCAGAACTTGCCACAGCATATACAGAATGTGTCGCACCAATCTCCCTCCTTCTATTCCTACAGGTGCAATGATAATTGATGCAGGTAGAACAGACTCCATTCTAATACGTAAATTCTGAAATACAACAGCCACCAACATTTTCTGACATGGACTGCCCCATTATATATTTGATCTCCACACAGACACACCTATTACTTGTGAAAACAAATACAAGATGAAATGTTTATCTACAAGCATCCTATCCAATGGATACCAAGGGCTCTTTCCTTAGGGGGTAAAGCAGCCAGGGCATGAAACTGACCTATCACCTCTATCCAGGGCTGAGGTCAAGAATGGAGGAGCTGCATCTCCACTCCCTAGTATGTCTTCATGGCATGGTGCCTAAATAATTAAGCATAGGTACAACTTATGGTGTCAAAGTCTCCATCTTACAAAGAAAAATAATATTTACATGGTTTAATATTCATACATGTGAATGATATATTATCTTTCTACAGTACACTGCTATAAAGATTCAAGTATTATTCTTTAGGAAAAGCTGGTATGTTTGCAACTTAATAGTTTAAAAGGGAGGACCATTTTCCAAAGCCTATAGCCTCATACACAAAAATTATGCTAAGTTTTTTTTTTTGTATACAGAATGAAATTCCCCAAAGAGTTTGTTAAGACAACTTGTAACAAGATGGCAGTTAGGTATAGTATTCCACTATTGGAAAATGCTACAGTCCACAATCAAGAAATGAGGAGCTTCAAGGCCAAGTCAAAAATTGTTCCAACATTTGCAGAACCCCACCCACATCAGTGAAGGCAAACATGTTGCACAATTTCTCACTTCAACACACTAAACATTTAAATCTGTTACATCAATATGGTGCTCTGACCACTGTATTCATTTCTTTGTTAATATCACAGTACCTTAGTAATAAATTTGTTCTGGCATGTTATTTATTTAAAAATGGCAAAATCTTATGCTTACTTTTGAATTACATATTATTCACTGCACTGGTAAAATATACCAGCCACATTTGCTGGCAGTAGCACAACACAGGTTTCATTTGAACCGCATTCGTACTACAGAAACTGCAACCCAAGTATGTACAGTCCTGATAACTACTGCTGCTATTACTTGTACTATGGGATGTAACACGTACGTACTTAGATCTAAAACTATGGAAGCAATAATGTCTTTGCCAAACCCTTCTACAAATACCTCTTCCTGTATCCCTCCATGCTTCTTACATCTTTTCCTAAAGTTATGACAGCAGGCAACTGACAGCATGTGCTTACCAAAGCAAAGCTGATGACACTGCTCTGTTGAACCTGCAGCAAGATCATGAAAAATCCAATTTCTTGATGCTGACTATAACTTAAATTTGGCAGCTGGAAAATGTTGATTAATACAGTCACTCTGTGGACCAAAATGAAGAAAATGACATGGAAACAAGAGAAAATAGTGTAGGTTATTATTTATACCAAGCTGGAATCCAAGATTTGACGATTCAGTTAACATTTATCCTAACTGGAAAGCTCACTGTAATTAGACCCCAAGATCCTGGATCCTGCTGTCATGAATATCACCTAACGGTGTATCAAACCTCTCATCAGCCTTCTTTTCTCCCACCACTGGACTTCTTACTATTGGCTACCGAAACCTACTAACACCAATTATTATGCAAGATTTCTGATTCTCACAATGGTGACTAAGATTACTGCCTTCTGGGGTATGACATCATTTAGTCTGCTATTTGGTACATAGGTAGCAATGTCCTGGAGGAACCTGTTGCCTCCACCTTCAAGGCAGGAAGATAGCAAGTTTTTCCAAAATGTTGGTACCTATCTACCAAACTATATGGCATCACAGCCCTGAAAAAAAGTAGTCTTCACCAATTAGCATATTCACAAGCTTCCACTTTCTACCCCTATAAAATCAACTGCACTTAACTGACAGTATCATGTCTTCAGCTCTTCAGTCTTGCCTCAATTTTCATCAAACATTTGTTGTAATAATTCTTACATAATCAAACTGTGGGATGTAAACTTATACACTTTAAGGACACTTGCTTTAGTAAGTAGTCTTACCTTTCTCAACAACCCAATTTTCAATTGTCACCTATATTACCATATTCATCTACAACAGCACACTGGTGTGGTATATCTTAAAACAGTCGTCAACATGCAGGGCAATTTTGCACTGTTCACATTCATAACAAGTTTCTTTACGAACTCCACGAGTGCTACACACTTTACAACGTCTTGAAGGAGCTGCCTTCTTGTTGGTTGGTGGTATTTTTGAAGGGAAATGGGCCCATTGCATGCTTTGGAGCCTGAGAGGTTTGTTTCCTTGGCTAAGGCAACCCCTAGTGGGATAACTTGGTAATTTGATCTTCAAGAGCATTTCTTCCGCTATGTTGACCCTGAAGGATGTGTATCTTTCTCTCTTCTTTTGAGGATTTAAAGCACGGTGGATAATGCTGGCATTTAGCATTGTCATATCGAGCAGGTAAAAGTATAACTTCTTGTAGCCTTGACAGTACCTTCTCACTACTGGAAATGATCCCAACTGTTGATCATGAGCATAGACTCCACCCATAACAGAGATGTACTCCACAACGCAATTTGGTTTCAGCATGACACCTCCATCTTGTCCATGTGTTTCTTCCATATCCGGTCGCTCATGTTTTGTACTCAGCATGTGTACATCCTTTTTGTGTCTCCACTTGACAGCAAGGATTCCATTCGAGGAAGCAAATGTCAGTTCTCCCCTCTCAAGTTTAATGTCTTTCCAAATTGCAGGCATAAATTTCCTCCTTGCCCATACAGTACCGATGGCATGAGTGTCTCTGTCCAGCAGGTATTTGAACAGCGAAGGTGAAGAGCACCAAATGTCCATGTATATTGTTCTTCCTCCTTTCAGTAGTTTTTCACAAAGCTTAAGTACAGTAATCTCACTATCCCACATTTTAGACACCTCATCCACCTCACTTTCTACATCAGTAGCTTTACCTTGATACACCTTAAAATTCCAGCAGTACCCTGTGCTTGTTTCACAAAGTTTGTAAATTTTTAACCCACAAGTCCTTCTTGATGAATTATGTTGAATTTCCCTAAATTTCATAATACTTTCACTAATAGCAATATTTTGGCCAGGTACATACATATTTCTGTACTTCTCTTGTAAGAACTTAATAATAGGTTTTACTTTTCTCAGTCTATCAATTTTGTCAATTTCAGTATCACTAGCGAAGTGCAAGTACCTATTGATGTCCCTGAAACGTGAAAAGGGCATTGTTTCTCTAAACACTGGAGTTTCCAAAATCTTACGCTTTGTCCAATAATCTTGTAGTGAGGGCTTCTTTACTTGGGACATTAGCACACACAAAGCAAAATGTGCCTTCAGTTCATCTGTAGTAACTGGGAACCACTTAGTTTCAGTACCTGGCTTAATGTCATGCAATGAAAGTTCTGCATGGATGTTCGTTTCTCTTGCAATATGAATCCAAAATTCTTCTGTCAGAAATTTTTCTAAAACATTAATCTCGCTAGGATTTCGTTCAAACTGCCTCTCAATTCTTTCACTTACCCCACTTACTGCAGAAACTATAATATTTTTTGGACTATTACATACATTTTTCCATTTCCAATCACCATTATCAATTCTGACATGCTTTGCCCAGCTGTCTCTCAAATGAACTTCATTCTCATTTCCTTCGCCTTCTACTGGATTAGCATCACTATCGCCACCTCCAGACTGTACTTCTAGAAATTCGCTGTTGCTGTCTTCCAAAAAATGTAATACATCAACTTCCTGCAGTGAAAAATTTGCTGCTCCATTACGTCCCTCCATTTCATTAGAAGCTCGCGCACAACTAGAAACATGAATGTAAAGAACATTTACAAAGTGATATGCCAACAAGTGCTGTTAATATCTGGCATCATGAAATATCATTAGACAGTAAGAGAACTTGACAGAATAATGTGAGCTGCAATGAATATAGCAGTCACCGAATGTTGGTTAATTTAGTCTTAATGACAGTCCTGCTACGGCCATTACATGCCAATAATTTTTACGCAGCTATGAACAGAAACCAGGAAGAACTATAAGATTTATTTTCCTGATAAATACAGTGATCATCTATTTAATTGGAGGGTTCCATAAAACCATGAAACACTATACCAAGTTGGTCTTTTCATTTTGACCCCACAATACAAAACTGAAAAATAACCAACTAACTTCATGGAGCTGAGCCCTTCTTGAGAGGTTGCCAGTTCTGCAGCTATTCAAGAACTCACCAATATTTTAAGGAACCCAGAGGTTCATTGCAGTGTTCACAAGAACCATCCACTGGTTCCCACCCTGAGGCAGATCAATCCAGTCCATACCACCCCACTGTACCTCTCTAAAATATATTATAATATTATCCAAGCACCAATGTCTTGGTCTTACTAGTGGTCTCTTTCCTCCTGGCTGTCCCACCAATATCTTATATGCATTCCTTTTTTGCCCCATTCGTGTTACATGCACTGCTCATCTCATCCTCCTTGACTCGATCATTCTAATTATAACTGGCAATGCGTATAAGATATTAGGCTCCTCATTATACAGTTTTCTCTAACCTGTCACTTCATTTCTCTTCGGTCCAAATATTCTCAGCACCCTGTTCTGAAACACCCGCAGTCTATGCTCCTTCCTTAATGTCAGAGACCAAGTTTCACACAAACATACAGAACCACAGGCAAAATTATAGTTTTGTATATTCTATATTTATGTTTTTAACAGCAGACGAGAAGACAGAAGGTTCTGGAATGAATGGTAGCAATCATTACCCGAGTTCAATTTCCTCTTAATTTCCTCCTGAATCAAATTTTGATTTTTTACTGTTGTTTCCAAATGTATGAACTGCGCCACATTTTCAAATCCATGATTTATTTAATCCGTCTTGCAGTGCATACACTCATTTAACTCCTTCTCTCCCTCGCACTACATGTTTCGGCATAATAATGCCATCTTCAGGTGCTTACTTATCCACGTCAAACCAGTTCATTGCATGCCATGTTCACACATTAAAATAACTAAAATATGTATCTATCATATACATTGTCAAANTGAACTGGTTTGACGTGGATAAGTAAGCACCTGAAGATGGCATTATTATGCCGAAACATGTAGTGCGAGGGAGAGAAGGAGTTAAATGAGTGTATGCACTGCAAGACGGATTAAATAAATCATGGACTTAAATCAGTGCAACAGGACGCTAAAATATAACATTTTCAAAGCAACTGTTAGCTATCTCTATGTTATGATTTTGCTCTGTTTTCTAGTGACAAGACAGTAATATATACTTAGCTTTCTCTGCATTTACTTCTAGACCAACCTCCTTAATAGGATCATTTGAAGTTTCTGTTTCCTTCTTTACGATATCTACAAGGGAAAGTCAGAAATTATCCGCACTTTTGCCATAACACATCTTTAGGTTTGTCACACTACCTTCTGCGCATGCATGTTTTAGAGTTTATACTACTGTGGTCATGTGAACGAACTTTGACCTTGATTGGGTCATTTTCCTTGATCCTGTGACAGTGTAAACATGGCCGCTCCGCTAGCAGTGTGCACCAAGGAGGAACAAAGAACAGTGATCCCATTACTCTGGTTGAAAGGTGTGTCACGGGCTGAAATTCATCAGATGCTTTCAACACAATACGGGAACAGTGCTCTACAGCGTAGAAGTGTGTATGAGTGGATCGAGAAATTTAAAAGGTGCCGGACAAGAAATTCAAGACTCAATCTTCCGCGGGAATGGTGATGCTAACCGTCTTTTGGGACTCAAAAGGGCCTATACTGAAAGACTACCTGGAAAAAGGCTGTACGATCAACAATGCAAGATACAGTGATTTGCTGGCCAACAATTCGCACCAAATGCCGAGGCCTATTGTCAAAGAAAGTGTTGTTGTTGCATGACAGTGCACACCCACACATGGCCAGCCAGGCCACTGAAGCCACTAACCATTTGCGTTTCGAGGTGCTGGAACACCCTGCCTACAGCGCAGATCTTGTCCCTTTTACTATCACCTCTTTGGACTGCTCAAAGATGCTGTTGATTTTCCACGGCCAAAGAAGCGGTGCATAAATGGTTGCGCGACCAACCGAAAACCTTCTCCTTGTAGGGAATACGAAAGCTTGTGGACCGCTGGTTCAAGTGCATCAAAAAGGAAGGAGACTGTGTAGAAAAATAATGTACTTGTTCAACCCCTACTTTTGTATATATAAATTGGAAAAACAAGAGTGCGGATAATTTTCACTTCCCTACGTATGTTATCACGCAGCATATTCACATCATCAGCATAGACCAACAGCTGATGTGTCCCATTTAATTTCAGTCCCACCTGGTATTCCTGGACCTTCCTAACAGCATATTCTAAAGCACATGTGAAAACCTGTGATGTTAAAGCATCTCCTTGTTTTAGACCATTTTGGATGGGAAAATTATCAGACAAATATTCACCTATTTAGGCTTTGCTATGTGTTTTGTTTAAACACATTTTAGTCAGCCTAACTACTTTCATGGGTATCCCAAATTCTATTAGAATACTGTACAATACTTCCCTCCTAACTGAATCATAGCTTTCTTGAAGTCTATGAATAGCTGATGTACTGTCTCATTGTACTCCCATTTTTTCCTCCAGTATCAGACAAATGTAAAATATCTGATCTGTAGTTAATTTGTTATACTGAAACTCACACTGATGATTCCCAATAATTTCATCTATATATATGGACTTAAACTCTAGAGAAGGATATTGGATAAAATTTGGTATGAAGTTGATAGCAGTGACATCCCATAATTATTATGATTGTAATGGCGCAAAGGTCAGGTACTTGGAGATATAGTTTTTGGGGTAAAATTGGAATAATAGTAGCTAGACTGTAAGATTAAGAAATAGCCATGATGAAACGGCCCAGGAAATTTAGGTCTACAGCGAATTGTAACAGGGAATGCCTGAGTCATTAGAATGCTAACCCGGCAGTGTAATAGCGCTGACATTGAGGAAGGAGCTATATGAAGTGGGTCATAAACACTATGGCAGGAGGAAAACGCTGAGTCTGAGGAGGCGGTAGGCCCGAAAGAGTCAACCCCTTCTCGATGGGCAACCAATGAGGGAGGCCAAAATCACATCAGAATGGGCAGGCAACCTACCCGGAACTCAAAGAATCAGCAAAGAGAGGTTATATAAACCCTAGAAGACTTAATCAAAAAAACCTTTTGCCTTTAGACTTTTGATTGATATTAAGTAACTTGGAGTTCAGGGGAGGCTATCGCCGAGAGAGCGATGGCCGTGAGTGTGCGCTGGTTGCTGATGGCGAGCATCTATTTCCTCATCTCAAGTAAGTGAAACCAACTTCATATAGCCATGAACATTAAGTGTAACAGTGATAATTGTAAAGTGTAAAACCACAGGGAAAGATAGTCTAACTAGATCGACTAGGTTCATTTGAGATACCGCGGCGTAGAATACCCACCAGTAGGGTGACAGGAGGTAGAACCAAGGATGACTGCAGGTTCATTATCCAGTGTAGTACAACCGACGAACGTCGGTAAGAGTGCATATAGATGTATATAGTGACACCGAGAAATAGAATAGAATAGACATGCGTGTGAGTTTACTTTAACCTAGCAATTCCTTAAGAGTTACCCTCTTCCTTGACGACTCCAGGACCTCCCAACGCTCCGGCGAATTACGATTTAAGCCAGGACAGTGACGCAAGCTATGATAAGTTTACTAGATTTCTTGAAAATAACAAGATGGTGGCAGCATACTAAACAGGTTGACAGAGCGGGATATTTCCACGCCCTCTGTCACCACGGCATAAGAGAGGTGTAGCGGCGGCTTAAGAGAGGTACAGTGGCGGAAGCGGTGGAGGTACCTTCACGCCCCCCTTCACGCCATAACAATGATCAGTATCATTACCCTTCTTGTGAGCTGACACAATAACAAACTCCTTCCACTGATCAGGCAAGTCTTCCTTATTCAAAATAGAATTAATTAGCTTATGGATTTCAGAATGAATATAAGGTCCGGCAAGGAAACTTGATGGTTTCTAAATTAGTATAATAGTAGAAACATCAGGTTTCCTTGTCAGACCCTGTACTTCACCCCCTAGTTGAATCAAGTCTGCTGGAATCTGATCACTACCTGGAGATTTAAGTCTTTTTCCTGGCTGGGTGGCGGCTCTTTCCAAGGGAGTGAAAGTAGCCAGAGTATAAAATGGGCAATTCACTTCTGTATGATTCCAAGGCTATGATTATACTGTCACACTCCATGTGTCTTCACAGTATAGTGCAAAGACAAAAGGACATAACAGCCTCAAGAACTGAACATGAAACAGGAAATCAGTGAAGTATTCTGGGAGGAACACAAAAAGAGACAATCTTTTCTTCATTGTAAATTTTAGGCACTTAACTGACCTTTCGGCTTTCAATCCCTCAGGACTTGATCCATCTTCTACACTTCTACCTCTTGTTGTCTCCCTTTTACAAGCTGTAACATTCTAATGGAAATAAATTATTCATCTACTGTGGTTCTATATTTGTAACTGAAAGTGTAATAAATTTCAGATTTTAAAAGCAGTGGTGTATAAACTCTGTACATCCAATACAGAAAAAGTCTGTTTCAGGAACACTTCATAATTTAAATCTTAACACAGTTAATAGCAATAAAAATCTCTGACTTGCAGTCTTATTTTTGTGTGTGGGTGGTGTGCCAATGTAGGATAACCATTTCTTTGCAAAATTTGTTAATGAGGAGTAAATTTATTATTTTAACATAAGGACATGGATATTACAAACATGTTCAGGTAACCATAAAAGGAATAATGTAGAACAACCACTATGAACATGTATTCAAGAATATAATCACTGAAAACCAGAAATACAAACACAATAAGGTACAGCAAATTTGGCACAGCTGACCCACAACAAAAGAGAAATTACATTTACATGTCTCAGAAAAGAAGTAAGGGGAATAACAAATGATTCAAAGATACCAACATAATATGGCATACAAAACAACCAACACAAATGCAGATCTTGTGTGAACGTTTCGGTGGAACGTATCGCCTCCATCTTCAGGGTAAAAAACATCGAGGCAGGAATCAGTGTGAGCATGTGGCTGCAGACTGAGTTACCAGTCAGAAAACACCCAGCTATATAAGAATAGGGAGGGAGAATGGGCCATACAGGAAATCTAGAGAGGAGAGGGGATCTGCATGGCGCCACATACCAGAAGACGGCATTCTTCATATAAAAAAAAGTTTACAATTACTACTTGTGCATGTTACTTGTAAAAGACGGCATTGAGCAATGGCCTCAATTCCTCATTCAATAAAAAGTATGAATGGAAAGGAATACAGGACTTCTTTCCCTTGTTATTTAAGGACACTAGAGGCTAGATAAGTGTTGGAAAGGAATAAACAGGGTGACCAATAATTTTGAAGGAAGCAGTTATGGCCTAAATGAGAGACTATCCCAGCACTTACACAGAGGGACTGAGGAAACCCACAAAAAAAACTGTTAGGACAGCAAGTGTCCCAGCTCAGATTCAAACCAAGCACCTACCAAATACAAGTCTATGAGGATTGCTGTCAGACCAATCTGTTTGATAATACAGGAGAAGGTAGGGGAAGTGAATGGTATGATAGCTTATATAACAAAAGAAGAAACTTCCTGCTGGATTCTCAATGGATGTTACATCATTTACATCATATACATATGTTTTTCTGAAAACGTAATATTTTCAGATGTCTCACCACACACTCAAGTACATACTATATCTGATACTCTTAATAAATGGGAGTTTATGGATGCATGAACAGCATAAGAATTTGACCATGCATAAAAGGCTAACAGCGCAGGTGTAAGGTTATGCAAATTTAGGTATAAGTGGCAAAATATGGAAGCAATGTAAGTGACATGAATTTTTGTTCTTTGGGGAGGTAGAGGATAAAGTGATCCCTTCAACTATACATCACCTGATTAAAATGTCCTCTTAATCACAACATTTTGTCTGACACATATGCTGTGACTTCACTGCTTTTCTTACCTGGACTTCACACCACGTAACTGGAAATGCATCCTGACTTTGGTGTGTTGCTGCAGCTTTGCTGTATCTGAACAGTAAAGGGTCTGTTTCATTTGACACTACCTCCATATTTACTAGGGGTTCTTCATTCATGTTGACCTATAGGAGAAACAAACAACAAAACAAACTCCACGGTTTTAGTCTGAGAGCAAACTATACCTACCCGTAGGAGAAAGGCATAAAAAAACCTCACTTTGACTTTACTTATTCTACATGCATTAAACTACTGGAAATTCCAAGACAATCAGAAGTTAAAACAGCATGGTTTAAAGCTTCTCCACAAATTTTCTGCATTCTACGTATATAATTACTTTTGTCTTTGATATGGTTTAAGTTAAAGAGAGATGTTACCTTAAAAAGGTAAAAAAATGTAAAGCTATCCCACTAACTGGCTGTAAAGGCCCACAGGGTTGTGAGATGTCGAAGTGCCCACATTTTCCTTAGACAATCGGCTCAAAGATGGCAGTAAGTTTGTCAGCCTTATGCGCCGGCCGCCCTTTACCCCCCAGGAAGATTCCTGGTACTCATATCTGTCAGCGGCTGAGTTGGCCCCAGGGCCATAGTGCAGCTAGGAGGATTAGGTCAATTGAAAAAATCCACTTCATTGCAACTTGAACCTGACCTTCTGGCTTGTAGCATAGTGCCTCAACTAACTATGCTACCGCGTGGCCCGACCTTAATATCACTATTTTGGAGGGGGTATAACCATCTACCCTTAATAAAGGAACACCAAGAAAAGGCAAAGAAACACAAATTCTAAGAGTAATTATGTTTTGTAACAAATTTGCTTCACTCAACTGAAAATGGAATTATTGTAAGTATTTACATATTTAAAACCCCTCTTCCAATTTTCAATAATTTAATATTTTACAAATCATCTGATACGAAAACATTTCCAATTCCATACCTTAGAAGCAAACAGTAACCTTTCCTAATATTATTATGACAAAATCCATAGAAAAAGATTTAATTACTGGTACATCCTACCAGTGACCTAGGCAGTTTGGGATTTTAAGTCAACAGAAGCTTCAGTTTAGAATATGAGTAAAAGTACAGCCTGGCAATTTGAATTCTGTATCATAAAAATGCTTGCAAGTTATGAATGCCTCTAAGGTATAAATTTGCAATTCTAAACATACCTCACTCTCTGCTCTTCCAAAATCCTCTTGTTTAATGTAAGTGCACTCAAAGCCACTGAACACCGACAATGGGGAAGTCATATCAGATGTTGCCTTCTCTTCTGATTTATCCTTTCTGTGCTGTGAGGAGCAGATAAAAAGAAACGACTAACAATCAACAAAAAAGCATAAACTGGATTTAGTAAACTTGTTCTATTTTACCAATCTATATTAACCACACTTCTTTCAACGGAACAGTGTGTGTGTGTGTGTGTGTGTGTGTGTGTGTGTGTGTGTGTGCGCGCGTGTGCGTGTGTGTGTGGGCATGCACATGAATGAAAGAGAGAGGTGATGAGCCATTCCTCCGCATGATCTGTAGATCTGTATACAGGCTTCTTCCTAATTATCCCAATTCAAGAATACTGTTCTTACATACCCATGCCTGTGGTGAAGAAATGTGATCTGGGACAGCTCCATCTGACAGCTTGGTGCTTCATGAGCCCTAGTTTAATCCAGATGCACAGAGCATCACAAAGAATGAGTAACAACAGATAACTTTCCTGATGGTCACAATTCTTCAGGAAAAATAATGTGATGATCCCTGTCACATTTTCTGTCTAAACAGCAGTACAGTGACATATGTGATGGCCCTGGAGCCCAAATCTGTGGGGCGCTACTGTCCTCAAACACTTTCACATTCAAATTAATTCACTAATTAAGTCATTAATAAAATGCAATTAAAAGCAGAAATGAATTGAACGCACCTCTTCATATCATACTATGAATATATTCTCTCCAGTTAACAATCCAATCTCACATTTGTATGCAGGAATAGTACACCCCTGTTCATGTGTGCACAAATTATCTGCTTTGTGACTTATCCATGTACCTTCAGGAGCATTCACAACTCTGCAGAAAGCCCATTAAGTTCCCTCAGTCTAGATGTGAAACTTGGTCTCTGACATTGAAGAAAAAACACACCCTGAGGATGTTTGAAAACAAAGTGCTGAGGAGACTATTTGGACCAAATACAGATGAAGTGCTAGGAGGCTCGAAAAAACTGCATAATGAGGAGCTCCATAACTTGTACTCTTTGTCAAGTATAAGTACCTACCTACCTACCTACCTACCTCTCGGCAATACAGCCCTGGGTGAGCCTTGGCCTCCTCTACAACCAGTCTTCAATGCTCTCTATCCCCCATCTCCTCTATCCACCCTTTCAGCCAAGTATAATTAGAATTAGCACATCATGTACAATGAGCCATGTACCTGCATAGGGAAAAAAAGGAATGCATATACAAATTTTGTGGGAAATTCAGAAGGAAAGAGACCACTAGGAAGACCTATGCATAGGTAGGAAGATAATATTAAAATGGATCTTGGAGAGAGAGGATGGCGTCATATGGACTGGATTTGTCTGGCTCAGGATAACGGCCAGTGGAGGGCTCTTGTGAACATGGTACTGAATCTTTGGTTTACATAAAATTTTGAGAAATTCCTGAGTAGTTGAATGACTGTCCGCTTCTCAAGAAGGACTCAGCTCCACAGCGTTAGTATGTATGTACGCGTCAAATAACTTGAGAACAAATGATTCAACTTTCATGAAATTTGATATTGCAGAATTTTTAAAAATTATCAATTCATTTCAACTTACACTTAGATTGAGCAATTTTAAAGAGCATCTTATATGAAGGGGCACTGGGATTGAATAGTCAGTATAACAACTGGCTATAGGCTGGACAACCGAGTGGGTCAAAAATTTTCTCTTCTCCACGCAGTCCAGACCGGCTCTGGGGTCTATCCAATGGGTACCGGAGGCATGAAGTTGACAACTCACTTCCAACCACTTTCCCATACACCTTCATGGCATAGTGCTTAATTAGTTAAGCAAAGGGACCTTACCTTACATGAAGACCTACATGTACTTCTTCAAGTATCCCAAGGATAACTCACCAGATGCTTAGCAAAGCAAAAAATGTTCAAACAAAAGGTGCACAGGAAAATTAATCATATACCTGTATTTCACCTCCAATAAGCTTTTTCCATGAGTCTTTTGGCTTCTGAGATAACTGAAAAAATCAGATGCTATGCATACATTTCTAAATTTCTATATTCAGTAATAACCACAGTCTCCTAATCATAGTTGTCTGGGTTTTTCAATTGTGTTTCTTTCTCCCTTCATTAGCATCAACAATCAGGAGCACCACAGAAAATTATAAATGGAATAAACTTTGACAACTTTTTTTTAAATATTTATTGAGCTCTATTTACCACTTTCAATTCTCAACCTTACTTACTTACTTACTTACTTACTTACTCATGGAGCTAAGCCCTTCTGGAGGAGCCACCAATTCTGCAGCTACTCAAGAATTCCCCAGCATTTTATGGAACCCAAAGGTTCATAACCGTGTTCACAAGAGCCCTCCACTGGTCCCTATCCTGAGCCAGATCAATCCTATCCAGCCCATCCTGTCTCTCTAAGGTCCATTCTAATATTGTCCACCCACCTATGCCTTGGTCTCCCCAGTGGTCTCTTTCTTTCTGGCTTTCCCACCAATATCATATACGCATTCGTTTCCCCCCATTCGTGCTACATGCCCTGCCCACCTCATCCTCCTTGACTTGATCATTCTAATTATACTTGGAGAAGAGTACAAATTATGAAGCTCCTCACTGTGCAGTTTTCTCCAACCTCCTGTCACTTCATCTCTCTTCAGTCCAAATATTCTCGACACCCTGTTCTCGAACACCCTCACTCTATGTTCCTCCCTTAATGTCAGAGACCAAGTTTCACACCCATACAGAACCACGGGCAAAATTATAGTTTTGTATATTCTAATTTTTATGTTTTTGGACAGCAGACGAAAAAACAAAAGGTTCTGGACTGAATAGTAGCAAGCATTACCCGAGTTCAATCTCATCTTAATTTCCTCCTGAATCAGGTTTCAATCTGCTATCGTTGTTCCCAAATATCTGAACTGTGCCACATTTTCAAAACATCTGTTTCCTATCTTTATGTCATGATTTTGCCCCTCATTTTGGTGACGAGACAGCAACATATACTTAGTTTTCTCTGTGTTTACTTCTAACCCAACCTCTTTACTTGCGTCAATTAAAGTCTGTGTGTTTTTCTTTATGGTATATACATGGTATATATATATATATATATATATGGTACATTGTCACCCAGTAGATTTAAATCATCGGCATAGGCCAACAGCTGATGTGTGCCATTTAATTTCAGTCCCAGCTGGTTTCCTTGGACCTTCCTAATGGCATATTCTAAAGCAAAGCTGAAAAGAAATAGCGATAAAGCATCTCCTCGTTTTAGACCATTCTGGATAGGAAATTTATCAGACAAATGTTCACCTACACAGACTTTACTATACTTTTCGTTTAAACACATTTTAATCAACCTAACTTGTTCCATGGGTATCCCAAACTCTATCAGAATATTGTACAATACTTCCCTCCTAACTGAATCGTAGGCTTTCTTGAAGTCTATGAATAGCTGATGTACTGTCTCATTGTACCCCCATCTTTTTCTCCAATATCTGACAAATGCAAAAGATCTAATCTGTGGTTGATCTGTTACACCAAACCCCCACACTGATGATCCCCAATAATTTCATTTATATATGGACTTATTGGATAAAATTTTGTATGAAGTTGATAGCACTGATATCCCCCGATAATTACTACAGTCAGTTTTATTACCCTTCTTGTGAACTGGTGCAATAATAGACTCCTTCCACTGTTCAGGCAATTTTTCCTTATGCCAAATAGAAGTAATTAGATTGTGGATCTTAGAACGTAATATTTCGCCTCCTGCTTGAATAAGTTCTGCAGGAATTTGATCACTACCCTGCGATTTAAACAGTTTCAATTTTGCAGTAGCACTTTCAACCTCAAAGGGCTAGGATCAGGTACTAACAGCTCAGCTGTATGGATTTCTGTCTGCCTCACATTACTGACCCTATGTACATTCAATAACTGAGAGAAGTAGTTCTCCACCTGTTCAAAATATTGTGGGAATCTGCAAGCAGATCACCATTCTCATCCTTCACTAAGTTACTGCTAGGTTGGTAACCCCTCTTAAAG